TGCTTCATACTAAATTTCCATAATGTTTGTAGTCATTATTGTATTGACTATGTTCATTCTGCCATGGTTGTGCTGATCATATAACAATTTAGTTACTTACTATGTCAGCTTCTTCACCACTGAGACCAATAGACCAGACAAGAACAATTTTAGAGGGGGGCAAAGTTTTATTTGGGGCTCATGTTTTCAGAGGTCTCAGTCCCTAGATGGCTGACTCTGTTGCTCTGAACCTGAGATGAGGCAGGACATCTTAGCAGAGGGGTATGGCAGAAGAAAGCAACTCAGAACTTAATAATCAGGGAGCAGAGAGACTTCCTTATTAGGGACAAAATATATATCCCAAAGGCATGACCCCAGGGATCTACCTCTGCCAGCTACACCTCACCTGCCTATAGTCACCATCCAATTAATCATGAATTAATTCACCCGTTAGTTTAATGATCTCATAACCCAGTCATTACACTTCTAAACTTTCTTGCATTGTCCCACACTTTAGCTTGTGGAGGACACCTCACATCTAAACCATAACACCTATATAATTACTCACTTACATTTTTAGTTCTTTGAAAGCAAAATGGTTTGTTCATTTTTGTTCTTTCAATATCTAAGCCAGTATTTATTACCTTTTTTTTTTCTGAAGGAATGGGAATAGTATCTGAGATTCATGCTATTATGAAAAACCAGGAGTAAATATCAGTGAAAAAGTTAAGAAGTTAAACCATCAGAGCAATGAAAGTAGACTTAAGCTAAATCACAAAATTATACTGGTTCTGATTAGAATCTCACCAATAAATTGTTGCCTTCCAGTATCTTTAAGAAAGTATTATTAAGGATCCATCCTATTATAAATCTCTGCCAATTCAACAAAGCAAGAAATTGATAAAGTAATGGTCTTTTTTTTTTTTTTAACCTCAGTAGAAGTTGGCTTGTTTGGTGATTGATGGAAAGCATTCAAAAATAAGGTGAGTTGTTTTGCATATGTGTTAAAGGTGTTGATTTTATTCTGTTTCATCAATACACAGTTTTTAAAACAAAATGGCTGAAACTGAAATTTCAGTAATTTTCCAAGTTGATGGGTATCTGTTTTTAGATACAATAAGAAAAATAAAATCAAACAAAAAATTTTCCCTTCCTCACAAACTCACAAGTCAACACACAAGAGATAAAACCATTAATAGGGAGGATCATGACAGGTATGGGATCTATGTCAACCTCTCTTGCCCACCCAGGCCCCGTTTTGAGTGGGGGGGTGCACAGACGCTGTATCCAATTACCCCTTGCCCATCCTCTGGGGGTTCACCAGTAGCTTCACCAGGAACCCTCACTTCTTTCTGGAGCAGTGCCCTCATAGCGGTTTGCTGAGTGCCAACTCCCAAATAATTTTCTTCCCCTTTGATCAAAAAATATTCTTTGTTAGTTATATCTTCCCTTTTGGTGTTTGAACCTCTCTCAGCATCTTATTTTTCATTTCAGTGAACTGAGTGATTTTTATTATTATTGGGTGGCAGGTCTCAACACATAAGATGACTTTTAAACCTGTAAATTAAAGCACTTATAAAGGAAAATAAGTTAAATATTGTAAAGACCTTCCTTCTCCAACAATTTTTAACAGTGCATGGATCCAGATCGATATGATGTCAATTAATACACAAAAATCTCAGGATTTATTTGTGGTCAAATCTAACATTAAAAATAGCACCAACAACTTCTCACAGTTTCCCTCTGGCCCAAATTCTTAAAAACTCTAAAGCTGGTGGGGTAAATATAGTTCTGACTAAATAGCTCAATTGATAACATAATGCACTAGCTTCAGAAAAGAAGGAGACAGTAGATATTTTTTTTTTTCATACACCTTCTTGGTGTTTCTAATAAAGCTCTATTTTCCATCTCCCTGAGACACCTAGTCCTTCCTAGAAACTTTACTGTCATTACAGTACCTGCAGAGTGATACCACTAACAGACCTGGCTGTTTGTTTCTGAGTAAGAACAGCTGTGCAACAGACTGTCGGAACAGTCCCCGTTTCAGGATGCAGCACGGATCTCTGACACCAAGGCAGCACCGCACCAGCTGGCTCTGTGCTCCGTGCATTGCTATTCCTGGATGATTTACCTGTTCTCAGTCCTGTCACCTTACAGTTTCTGCCATCTAATTAAAAACCCATGTTACTGGATCCACTCTGCTACAAATTAGTGATGCTATCTGTGTTCTTTCTGAGCCTAAACTGGCCATTTTTACTTTTATGATACACGATTTATTTTTAAATTCATACAAGATGCTTGATTATTTATTTGTGGTATATTTTAGCTCTCTTGTGGAGTCTCGATCAGAGTAATCCTCTTCTAATGTATTCATATAGCGTGAAGATCTAAATTTCCTAATCAAAATCATGTCAGCAAAAGTAGAACTGCTCTTATGATAACATTTTAGTCTAGAAAATGATTTTCCTTTAAAAGGGATTCAATGGACATGATGACATAAAAAGAAGTGGCAAAATTACACACAATCAGTTCACATAATCAAAACAGCAATGTTTTGTATTCAGCAAGGATTTCTTTTTTACTATAATAAATGGAACAAAATAGTCCTTTTGGAATTCTGCAACTGTATTACGGCTACAAATGCAATACTACCAACTTTCTACAGAATTAGGGACAAGGATTTTCAGAACTTTAGAACAAAGTATCCCTTTGAGACATGGTCCCTAAATATACATTTGGATCATATTTCATCACTATCTCTGATACTCTGTCTTGACTTTATTAGGAAATAAATATTAGGTAAACATTAACCTAGTTGTGAAATAGTATGACTCATGTAAATAGTTAAAATGGTTGCATTTTAATTACAGATTTCTGGAAAATAAATGTTGTATTATGCTAATACATATCCTGGAAGTGTACATTCTGTGGAGCAATTCTAGCTCTGTCGTGGAGAGCTGATCCTGTCTCTGCCCTGCTCCACTGGCCACTGTGCTTACTTCTATCAGTTCAGTATCCTGGAGGTGTTGTAAAGTGTGTTCAGCTTCTCAGAAAGATTGGAGTTCTGTGAAAACAGGTATCATGTATCACACACTCCTATAATCCCAGACACGTGGTAGATGTTCCAAAAATGATTGCTGACTGATTTCTTGGAAACTGAAAGGACATTAGCTAGTGTTTGTATGGACTGAGAGAATAACCTCATTGCCTTCACAAGATATAAAATCAGTCATGTCTGTATGTACATGAAAGTAGATAAAGCCGTTAGCAAGAATAGGTGTGCATAATCGTAATAAAAGTTCTGCTTTTTAAAATTAAAAGATCTTTTAATTGATAACCAGAAATTTATATATGTATTTGACTTGAATAGACATCTATTTCCTATTCAATAATCAAATTTTTCTTTGGTCTTTTTTTACACTTTCTACTTTAGGATTTATTTTCATTGTTCACTTATTCACTTTTTACTGTGAACAGTGTGAATTTTGAAACCACTTTACATTCTGCAATAGTGAGATTTAGGGTGCAGAGAAGGAGCACTCGGAGGCTGCAGAGTTGAGGCATTGGAGGTGTCTCTTCAATAGCTAGTCTGCCTTATTGTACAAGGAGTCACAACCTCCATCCAGGGCAGATATGTATGCCACAGCTGAGGCCTTTGTTGTGAGCCCAGAAGTCACCAAGAAATTTTTAAAGGAACAGAATAAAATGCCAGTAAGAATTAAGACCTCATTCCTCAGGGGTATTCTGCCCTTCTCATCTTGTTCCAAAAAAAATGTTTCTGTTTCAAACCACAAGGATATTTAAAAAAGAAGACTTTCCCCTTTGTGAAAGAACGCATTAAAGATTCACAAAGACACATAGATTAGAACACAGCAGTTCACCAATAGGAAGTTTTCAGGGGTTACTTTGTGACTTTGTTATTACTAGCCATCATAACTGGTGAAAGTTAAACTGATAAATTTAAACCAACTGGGAGTTTAGCCCCAGTGGTGAACAAGAAAAAAAAAAACTAAATAAGCCATAAAGTCATTTAGGACTGGACCACCATTGCTTTTGGGTACATTTGGCTAAAATGGAATGCCTCGTATTCTGAATAAACAGCCTAAAAGATAGTCAAAGAAAAAGTTGAATGTTCAGAGCATCAAGAGTCCATGCCAACAATAGTAGGAGATGGACCTAAAGCAGACAACACAAAGTCAGGCTACTCACAAAGTGAAGAGGATAGAGAACAACATCATCACAGCTTTCTCATGTTGTAATAAAAGATCTCTGTGAACATAGGGGAACCCACACCCCTTAGTGCTACCAGGAAATGCCAGCATAGAGTCCAAGGACTGGGCAATAAGATTTGGAAATAAAATGAAAGAGGGAGAAAAAAAGAAAGAGGACAATAGCTGTGCCTTTGCATACAAGTTTCTTCAAGAATGTAATTCTTTGGATGGAGCACGTGTGTGTACTTTTGTTTTTTTCTTGCCTGCTGAAGTGGAACTCTGGCTTGCCTTTATGCTGTTCTCTTAATTTTTTTTCTGGGCTTAAAAACTTAACATATATGCATATTTTTCTGACCCTCATTTAATTTAAAAATATATTTAATTATGTCTCTATTTGCTTAAATATATTTAATTATTTGTAGATTAAGGTGGATAATTTGAAAAAAATGCATATGTCTTAGTTAATTATATATGTAGAACAATTACCTAAAGCAAAAATACAATTAATTATGCAATACATTTCATATATAAATTTATAATTAAGTGAGTAGTTGTCTACATTAATTATGTACACATATTTGGTTAACTGTTAGACATTTCTATAATTAATTATAAAATGTTATAATATGTGTTTGTTCTCTAAAAGTATTGTTTAGTTCTCTGAACCCATCATCTTTTTCTCCCATAAATACTAAAGAACAACTTCAAATATTATGAACCACAGACAACTGAGTGACATCTCAGGGCATCTCAACCAACATTAGGCATAACTTTGGAACATTCATCCAATACAATGGAGAAATCATTTACCTCTTCTGTTGTATAAGGAAAAGGAAGCGTGATGATTGCAGAGCTTCACTGGGTTTTGGAGATTTCTGAGAACACATGTTTGCCACAGTGGATTTCAGAAGCCTTTGTGATGATCCTGGGAGTCTCCAAGATATTTTAAAAGGGAGAGAGGAATTCTGCAGCAGATTTCTTCATTCTAAGGTAGGCCAGATCCTGCTACCAAAGAAATGTCTTTTTAAAATTTTTACCAGGATTGTTTTTACCTTTTGGTACTTTACTTAATATCAAGCTCCCTTTGTTCATGACCCATCTAATGGAAACCGATTTTTCATTGACATATGCAAGGATGTCAATTTCTGCTTTGCTCTGGGTTTCTTCTTTAAAATAGTGCTCTTCGATGGTGTTCAAACTGTGAACTAATAACATGAACTTTTGTACTCATGGTAGAATTTGAGTCCTTATTATCTCTGTACTCCAGGAAAAAAAAAATCCAATGCCTCATATGCCAGTTACACTTATATACAAATAGAAAATTTAAAAAAACACCCTTATTGGTGAAAAAAAAATGATGGAAAGAGGGATGGAGGAAAATGCCAATGAGAAAGAAGACCTTATTCCCTGGGGCAAAAGGGGACATTTCCCTCTTGGAGAAGCTATTTTTTCCTGTTTCAAACCACAAGGTATCAAGGAGACTTTCCCCTTTGTGAAAGAATGCTGTTCTGACCTATGTGTTAGTGACAAAAACAGCTGTTGCATTGGCTGGAGCCAAGTAAAGGTCTCTGTATCAGGTCTAACGTGCAGTAAAGCACCTTGCCACTTGGCCTTTATGTTCTGGAGGCATTATTTGTATCAGGAGTGGGAAGCACAGCAGGTAGGTTTGATGACATATCTCAACAAGCAAATCATAACGTAGACCTCCAGGGTTCTGAAGCAAGGGAATTCCTTTTGACAGTAAACAATGAAATTTGAAAGAAATGGATGCTTGTAGATTCCTGGTCCCTGCTAGAAAGATGCTCCACCTGGATGGACAGATGGAAACTGACAGAACCGGCTGTCTAAGGAGGCCTGTCCTGGGAGCACTGTCCATTCCAGAGGGCAGTAACTTGCCACTTTAGTTTTTCACACTAACTTAATACAGACACATTAAAAAAATAACTTTGAGTATGTTAGGTTACATTATAAAAATCTGGGATTATTTTAATAGATAAAAATGATATCAGTAATTTCAGCTGCTTCAGCCTAAGAGCAGAAGAATAAGTGGCATTAATTCAGTGTCTAGTATATGCCCCAAACATGACTCGGCTCCCCTTCCTCCCTTCCTTCATCATTTTCCTCCTTTCTCCCTCCTTCCTCTCTTCCCTTTTTTCCCTTCCTTCTTTACAGTGCATTTTCTATTTTGTTGTAAATTTAATACCTTTATTTCTTTCTAAGCTACTAAATATAATTTTACTTTTGCAGCATATACTTTGTTTTTTGTGATTATGGTTCTTGGTAGAAATCATAACCAATCCCAGTTTCAAATGAGCAGCTTACAAGTTGCTAGAAAACTTTTGAAGATTCTCTCTGGATACATGAGATATATCAACGAGTGTAATGTCATAAACTTGCCGGCAATAAAAGAAAATACTTAGAAATTAGTAAATAACGGTTTTCCAGGGTCCAGCATAATTTTAGCCAAACTGCAAACATTAATGATTTAGTTGGAAGTAAGCCTGACTTTTGGTCTACTTATCACTAAAGTACTCAAAAGACAAAATCATACCGTCTGATACCTAGAATAACCACCTAGTAAAGGTAAGTACCTTTAAAAATATACATCATGTGCTTGGGCAGAATTGCAGGGGAAGAACTGCCCTTGTCATTTGGCAAGTGATGAAAATATGTGTGCTGCTTAGCTCAGAAGCATTTCTCTTCAAGAAAAAAGAACAGGGAAGAAAATAGCATTATATTTTTTTTTTCTGCACAAGTGATATAATAATATCAGCCCAATGATTTTTAACTTAATGTTTTCTGAAGCATTGTTTATATTAAGAGTTTATTTCATTCCACTTTATTTACTATACCGTTTGCAGATAACTGCAGTTAATAAGAAAAAAACATTCAAAAATATCCCTTGAGGAATTGATCATAGATGTAAGCTTTCATCTTCTTATTTTTAGTGTAAGACTTCAAAAGGTAGAATGATATAAAGATGAAGAAAGGGACACTTAAGAACAGCTTGTCCAAGTCCTTTTGTTTTCCAAATGAGAAAACTGGCCTAGAGAGGGTAAGATGTTGATTTCAGTAGTGCAACTGGGATGAGAGCTCAAGTCTTGGGCACTCCTGTGCCTTCTTTCATTACATGCAAAAAGCAAGGTGAGAAATATTCAGCGTTCAGTAGTGGGGACCACCTTGAAATCCACTCGTCAACTGTTGTATGCTTTTTTTCTAGCTTTACTTGTAACGAGTGAAGCCATAAGTACCCCATGTACTAAATGCACATTATAATTACTACTGGAGGGTGATGTACTTCACAGAAGAAGCTATCTTCTTGGCTATTACTATCTTCAAAGCAAATATGAATCTGATTTCAAACTAAAGCATGAATATCTTAACAAATATATATATATATATATATATATATATTATACCAGAGAAGAAAAACTAAGGACTGTAGAACAATGAACTTAGAGAATGTATATAATTATTTTGGACATGTTTCCACATTCCTTCAGCTGCAAGTCACTTGATAAAAATGACCTAAGGAGTTTTCTTCAGGTGCTGTTTCCTCAGCTCCCAACCATGTCATTTTAACTAGCAGAAATGCAGCTTTTTTGTACTTTTTTTTCCCCTTCTGCATCAGTTTCGATTCCTTTTTAGATACTTGCTTTTATCTAGGTGTCAGATTCTCTCCAAATGATAGATTGTAATCTCAGCTCAGGGAAAAAAAAATGAAACTTATAAAATGGTTGGATTTGATTTGCAGCAATGTGGGCTGGTCAGATGGCAGCCACGGAGAGAGGAGCCTCCAGTGAGCTTCAGTATTATGTGTCCTTTATATTAACCCTTGGGTCCATGCATGTAAGAGTACTTTGTGAAAAATTTCTGTCATATTTTGTAAAATTATTTAACAAGTCTTTCCTCTTTAGGACCCTCAGGATAAGCCAAAGCCTCGGTGAGCCTTTAAGTCAGAATATGAATTCTATTCCCAAATACAATTCATCTCTTTCACTTTACATATATGTAAATCAGTCATGTATTCAATCATTTTTACATATTGAGAATTTAGATATGATGCGTATTGGAAATACGTAGCAAGGCAAGGAAGGATGGATGAAAGTAATGAAGGAGACAAGGGTGTAAACAGATGATTACAACATAGCATGACAGATCCTAACACGGGGTGTGTGTCCTTGGCACTAGAGGAACTAGAGTTGTGGCTTCCGTAAGGCAGTAAGGCAGGGACCGTGCTGAAAACATGTTTTGATTTTTTAAAAAGAGCATATCTGCTGAATTTGTTCTGTGCATGACTGCTTAAGTTTCACATGAATTTGAAAGGGAAATGGTTTACGCACAAGAGAAGTTGGGGAAAAACGTCAAATTCTGCTGAACCAAATTTCCCATTTTGGATTCTTTTCGTTTTGTAATACAGTTTCAGAATCTTCGCATAAATGTTAACACAGAAACATGTCTAATAATTAAACAAAATATTCTGAGTAATATCAACAATGCATGAAGTTGAGGGGGTAGTCTTTGCAGTGGGAACATCCCAGGAAAGACAATCAAAACCAATTATTGAGACCTGTATCAGGCACTGTTCTAAGTGCTTATACGAATTAATTTATTTAACCTTGCATTTGGTAAGTATATACAAATATTATCTCTATTTTACAGATAATAAAAATGAGGCTAGAGGAGGCAAGTACTTTTCTCAATGCCACATATCTAGAAAGTGGTGAAAATTAGAACATCTCTTTATTTAAAGAGTTATTTGTTGGCCTCAAATTTTATATCCATGAGCCCACAGATCTATTTTTAACAATAGGCCTATATGTTCAAAGAACATTTTAAATTTGCTGTTTTCTGAACTACCTTTATATTAGAAAACAAGGATTATATTTTGAGCTCATACAACCCCATTTTAATATTAGGTTTTATTTAACCAACAGCAGTAGCAGTTAGATATATCGTGAGAATAATCATTAAATGGAAAATTGATATACAATATTTGTCTTCTCAACTCACCCTACCTTTATTTGTGTGTTATACTTGCAAAATGCAAATATCTGTCTGTGGTAATCTGACACTTTCCTGTTATGCCATTTCCATTTGTTCCAGCATCTTCTTTTAATGTATTCTTTTGGCTTCTCACCATCTCTTCCTACCAATCGCTCCTTTCCATTTTCTTAGACTCTTGGTGAAAATTTAGCTGAGTTCCAAATGGGTTGTTTTCTGGTGTGCTTAACTGGAGGTCTACTTTGCATTTAGGGTCTCTACCATGGATTTACGGTTGAGGTTCTATTGCTGAGCAGGTTGCAGGTAGGTAAGAGAAGGCAGAATGATGTTCCCTGTGAAGAAGCATATTGTCCTGGTCACTACAGATTCTCTGTCTATGTATTCTGTCCCATATCCCTAGCTTCTAGGGAGCAATGCAGTGCACCCTCATCATAATCTTATTTTAAATTTGGCCTCCCCAAATTTAAAGATATGCAATGATATGCAACATTACAGTGTTATTTCTGTTTTTCTATTATCTGGCAGAAGAGTTGTGACATGTGTGTCTTTGATCATCAAGGGAAGCACTCCTGTTAGAGAACTCCTTATGATTTTGTCCTGACAACTGGACCTAGAGTTTTATGGAGTTCCAAACAAAACCAATAACAACCTTCCACCAGGGACTTTGAAAATGTCTCTAGTAGTCACTTGTAACCCCAATTGGTTTTTTGTTGTTGTTTTGAGATTTTATACATATGTGTGTGTGTGTGTGTGTGTGTATTTTTTTAAATTAATTAATTAATTTATTTTGTAAAAAGTAGCTAGTTGCAGTTCAGATGGGGAGAGTAACCTGTAGAAGATTGCTTTTGAGAGGAGGAAGAATGTTGGAATGTTTCTATCCCTCCTGTGAGTCATATTTGTCATGGTTTTCTTGAAGGTTGTATCCTCCTTAGCTTTCACTTTCTCTGCTCTTGGGAAATGTTTTTCTTCCCCTCAGTCTTACTGGCCCAAGGGTATTAATG